CCATAGCAACCTCAGGCTCTGGGTGTAAGACATTCTCTTGCCTCAGCCTCCCAAGTGCTGGGACTACCAGTGCCTGCCATGATACCTGGCTGTTTTAGAGATGAGGTCTTGCTCTGGCTCAGGCTGGTCTCAAACTTGTGAGCTCAAGCATTTGCCTGCCTCGGTCTCCTAGAGTGCTGGGATTTCAGGTGTCAGCCACTATGTCTGGCCCTAGGGGAAAAAAAACATTTATTTATTCATTTATTTTTTGCAGTTTTTGGCCGGGGCTGGGTTTGAACCCGCCGCCTCCAGTATATGGGGTCTGCACCCTACTCCTTGAGCCACAGGCGCCGCCCAGGAAAAAAAACATTTAATACGGCCTTAGAAACACACCATGATCTGGTGATAAAACAAAATGTTGTGTCCCTGTACTACTACCCTCTGGCTTGTATGTCATAGGGAAGGAATAATGGAGGGCAATTGAAGTTGATCCCTTAAAGGGAAGGACAAGAATATTCTTAGAAATATGTAAAATTTTGCCCATTATTGTTAAAGACCACCGTATAAGGATTATCTCCAGAAAACTTGAGTGATCCTGCAACACTGGGCTTTCCTGCCTTTTCTGGAACATTAGCCAGGACTGAGTAATGGCTGTCTGAGACCAGGTGGTTTTTTTGCTTACATCACATCCATCTGGATCTTGGAAGGCTTTGTGCAGCCCCAGGCTTGGCCCCTTAGTGATGGTGGAGCTGGTTCACTTGCAGTGTGCTTCCTGTAAACCAGGTTCTATTAGAGAGGTTTTACATGTAGTGACTTAATCTGTTGTTCACAGTATCCTTAGTAATTTTTTTGTTCTTTTTGAGACAAGAGTCTCACTATTATTTCCCTGGGTAGAGTGCCATGGCATCATGGCTCACAACAACCTTAAACTCTTGTGCACAAGTGATTTATCTTTCCTCAGCCTTCTAAGTAGCTGGGAATACAAGTGCCCACCACAACACCTGCCTTTTTTTTTTTTTTTTTTTGGAGACAGAGCCCCAAGCTGTGGCCCTGGGTGGAGTGCTATGGCATCATAGCTCACAGCAACCTCCAGCTCCTGGGCTCAAGCAATTCTCCTGCCTCCACCTCCTAAGTAGCTGGGACTACAGGTGCCTGCCACAACACCTGGCTATTCTTTGGTTGCAGCCGTCATTATTGTTTGATGGGCCCAGGCTAGATTCGAACCTACCAGCTCAGTTGTATGTGGCTGGCGCCTTAGCCACTTGAGCTACAGGTGCCGAGCCACCTGCCTATTTTTGGAGACAGGCTCTCACTCTTGGCTCAGGCTGGTCTCCCAACTCCTAAGCTCAAACAATCCACCTGCCCTCCAGAGTGCCAGGTTTACAGGCATGAGCCACTATGCCTTAGCAATTGTTAATGAGACAGTACTAGGAAAGGGACTGTAGGAGTTATAAGTAGGTAGCTCAGAGTTAAAATAGATGGGAGAAGTGAAGGTCAGAGATTGGCCCATGTTCACACAGCCTTTGTGTGGACCTGTATTCAGATAGCCTGGCTTCAGAGGCAGCATCACTCTGTTCTGTAGTACTTTTGTGTAGTAATCCATGTGAAGATTTTATGTTGTGACCGTAACATCTATCCATAAATATGGTGTCTGGGGGTGGTGCCTGTGGCTCAGTGAGTAGGGCGCTGGCCCCATATACCGAGGGTGACGGGTTCAAACCTGGCCCTGGCCAAACTGCAACAAAAAAAATAATTGGGCGTTGTAGCGGGTGCCTGTAGTCCCAGCTAATTGGGAGGTTGAGGCAAGAGAATCGCCTAGACCCAGGAGTTGGAGGTTGCTGTGAGCTATGCGACGCAAGGCATTCTACCAAGGGCAATAAAGTGAGACTCTGTCTCTTAAAAAATATATATATATATTGTGTTTGGGGCGGTGCCTGTGGCTCAGAAGTAGGTGCCAGCCCAGCCAAACTGCAACAAAAAAACAACCGGGCATTGTGGCCGATGCCTGTAGTCCAGCGACTAGGGAGGCTTGAGGCAAGAGAATCGCCTAAGACCAAGAGCTGGAGGTTGCTGTCAGCTGTGACAACACAGCACTCTACGGAGGGCGATAAAGTGAGACAGTGTTTCAACGAAAAAATAAAATAAGGCTCAGCGCCTTGGCTAAAGTGGCTAAGGTGCCAGCCACATATACCTGAAGTGGCAGGTTCGAATCCAGCCTGGGCCCACTAAACAATAGCCAGTGGCTATTTTTTGGTTGCAGCCAAGCGCCTGTGGTCCCAGCTACTTGGGAAGCAGAGGCGGGAGACTCACTTGAGCCCCGGAGTTGGAGGTTGCTGTGAGCTGTGATGGCACATCACTCTACTGGGGGACAGCTTGAGGCTCTGTCTCAAAAAAAAAAAAGATAAAATAAAAAATACAGTGTCTGTGTATAACAGACAAATTACATATGAATATGGCTGATTTTCTCGTTCTACATACTATGTTCTGTTGTGCTTCCTTAAAATACCCACTTGTGGGTTATGTGTGTCCTGCAGTTGGAACACTGCTTAGACCCTGCTTCTCCTCAGGCTGAGTACTTGCTGTGTGCCACACTTTTTCTGGTGGTCCTGGTTCCCGTTTCACGTGTAAGGAAATAGAAGCCTAGAGTAGGAGTTAACTTCTTTTCTGACTATTTGGGACAGGGTGGGAGAAGGACTCCTGGCAGCTGGGCAGTTGTGCTAACTGTGGCTGCTCTCCTCAAGGTGAAATTCATGAAAAGCAAACCGGGGGCCGCCATGGTGGAGATGGCTGATGGCTATGCTGTTGACCGGGCCATTACCCACCTCAACAACAACTTCATGTTCGGGCAGAAGCTGAATGTCTGGTAGGTGCTCTGCCTCCCCCAGGCTAAGGAGGGTTGGAGAGGGACTACAGAGAGAAAGGAAGGAGAGTGGGACTTAGCAGAGAAGCACAGTGAGGCTGAAGTATTTACTCAGGCAGGAATGGGGTGTGGCGGGTGTGTTGTCACATCTTCCTCTGACACTTTGGAAGAAAGTGGGTCAGTCTCACCTCAGTGGTAGGTCAGTTTTCTGTGAAAGTGCTATCAGATACACGCAGAGCCAGGCCAGCTTCTGCCAGGCTACAGCCGAGGTCTTCGCGAACAACTTTGGGTCTGACAATGGACTTCCTATTCTTCCCTCCTTCAGTGTCTCCAAGCAACCAGCCATCATGCCCGGTCAGTCATACGGGCTGGAAGACGGGTCTTGCAGTTACAAAGACTTCAGTGAATCGAGGAACAATAGGTTCTCTACCCCGGAGCAGGCAGCGAAGAACCGCATCCAGCACCCGAGTAATGTTCTACACTTTTTCAACGCTCCTCTGGAGGTGACTGAGGAGAACTTCTTTGAGGTGGGTGCCATGTGGTACTTCTGTGCCTGAGATGTCTGAGTAGGCCATTCATTTTAGTCCTTCATCAAATCACTATTAAGCTTTTCCTCTGCCAGGCTCTTGCCTGGGTGCTAGGGACAGAGCAGATACCAGGACAAATTGGGATCCCTGCTCTCAGTCTAGACAGAGTGAAAATGGCACTGGTAGAGTTCACCATGCAGCTGCTTTGCATCATAGAGCCCCATCTCAAAACATCCATGTAGTCAGGACTGCAGGATGTGTAGATAGCATCAGAGGGCAGGGCTTTGTAAAGGCTGGTCAGAGGGAAATAGGGCAGCTGGAGGAGGAGGAGGTGCTCCTGAGTTTGACCTTGCACTGGAGATGGTGCCCTTCATTTCAGCAATCATTAATGCTGATATACACCCAAATAGCTACTGAAGATAAGGAAATTAAACCACTTTCCCATTTTTGGTAACATAAGAGTAGTGTTGCTAACCTTTTTCATATCACAGGGACTAGGGCGTGTGATAAAATCTTGAAATCTTTTCTCTTAAAAATTTGAAATACTTGGCTCGGCGCCTATAGCTCAACTGGCTAAGGCGCCAGCCACATACACCTAAGGTGGCGGGTTCGAATCCCCAGCCCGGACTCGCAAAACAACAATGACGGCTGCAACCAAAAAATAGCCTGGTGTTGTGGCGGGCGCCTGTGGTCCCAGCTACCTGGAAGGCGGAGGCAGGAGACTTGCTTGAGCCCAGGAGTTGGAGGTTGCTGTGAGCTGTGATG